ATCTAACATTCGTTTCTTATTTTTTTTTATATATATATATATATATATATATATATATATATTATGTAGGAGGGGCCGGGCCCCTTTTATTTAATTTTTGGACGCATTTATGTGAGATTAAAATGGTCTATGAACTCGGCAGTGAAACATGAATGTAATAAAGCAGGATTCCAGGGGATAGCTGGACCAAAAATGGTACTAGTATGTCGTAGTACTTGTAGTGAGGAATAGTTTTTCGACAGAATACTACTGGTCGATAGTTGATGGATAGCTTTAGGCAAAATAGGATCGACAAGAGCATATCAGGTCTAGCTTGTACAAGAGAAATGATTCTCATCAACTGCGAATGCCAAAAAAACCACAACCAATTCCATATATATTGCAGCAATAAATACATGATACCACTGTTCCAACAAGCCTAGTACTGTAAAACTTATGGCATCGTGTATAACAGTATAAGTCCATTCAAATTGATCCAAAAAAAAAAAAAGTCCATTCAAATTAGCTAGTCGGTATATATTGAAAAAATAATAATAAGCAACAAGAAAAAAAAAGGGTGCAATTGTAAGCAAAAGTAGGAAACTTGCTTGGAGCTGGAACTTTTCATAGAAAGATACGAGCTCTGCTATAAGAAGGGACCAAATAACATTTTGTTAGGCATGGAGACTCACATTCAATCACGCACATTCTCATTCATACTTTCGTTCTCACTCACAAGCCACTATTTTTATGTATTAAACCATTTTCTACTTTTTTTTCTTCTAAAATAATGAAACCACTAAACATCGTAGTGAATATAGCTCTTATATTGAGTGTGAATGACTTTAAATTGATCTTATCTCTCTATCTCTATTTTCTTTTTACCAATTAATATTTTTTCTTTAATTATTTACTTTCCGCACCTTAGTTTACTCCTGATCATACGAGAAATATACTAAATCGATCAAAGGTGATCCGATTCCATTCTTATGATGTCGAGATTGGATTATTGCTTTCCTACTACAAATTGAACTGTAGATTTCATCTTCGACAACAATGGAATCACTACAAGAAAACGGCATTTTAACAATGACGTTATTAGCAACGACTAATTGGCAACGATATGTCATCGCTAATTCAGTTTTAGCGATAGCTAATGTGCATATCGGAGGTCTTCTATACTAGTTCCTTTTTTTGCTAAAAAGAAAAAAATTCAGCACATTTCTTCTGCTCAAGTAATACATAACATGTTTATAATATGAAAAAATGAAGAAAATGTGAAAAACCTTTATACGACAGATGAATTAGGATTTTGTTATAGATTTCAACATAGGTAGACTTTATAGTACTTAAGTGGTTGCTTATTTAGAGATATGGAATGTGGGGTTTTTGACAGATAAAAAAATATGGTAATTATGATAAAATTTAATTATGTAATTAAGTCTGTTGTAATTCTTTTTATCATTTTATGCTAGTGTCTTTTTATGTTTTACTTTTGCAAGACCTTTTTTCTTTACTATTCAATAAATTAGTATTTTTCTATTAAAAAAAAGTGTGTCAAAAGTGAAGGGGTTTGTGAGGAGAACCTCCCAAACGTAAAAGTATTAAAACGTTTTGGGAAATTATCATACTCGTACCATGTACTTTTGGATTGTTGTAAAGCTATATATTCTTGTTGTTTCAATGTATTAAAATGATATAACCCACAATTTATTTTCGACGAAAAAAATAATTTCACCCGAGCCTATAGGTCCCCATTTTGGGATAGGAAATATCCTTTTCCCTTCTAATTAATTATCTCCGAATTAAAATCTTAGAAAATATTAGAAGAGTTACAAAATAAAATTATCAAAATAAATATACAGGACAAAAAATGATTATGTTTTCAATATATATATATATATATATTATTTTAATGTTTTCAATGTATTTAAAGAAATTAATTTCGGTTTTATCAATTAAATAGCAAAGAGGATAATTTTTATGAAATTCTAATAAAAAAAAAATAATTTGGTTTTAATTAATTTTTTATGGATACATTTTTTTGTATTCACATAAAAGAGACACACAATCCGAGCAGGCCTCCAAAAAGAGGAAACAAAATGGATTTATAAGTAGACCCTATTAAGTTGCAACTTCGAAAACAATTGTTGACTGTTACTTATATAAGTAACTAACATTCCTCACTTCCTGCCGATCTGGGACTTGCCATAGTGGCTACCTTTTTATGGTATTTACACAAGCAGAGACACACAATCCCTAGAGGCAAATCGACTACAAGGGTTTTCAAGAAGAGGAAATAAAGTGGACTCATAAGTGGACCCCACTGGGTTACAACTTTCAAGCAATTTGCTGACTAAATAAGAACTCATAGGACTTATAGGCCACCCACATTCTTCACTCCTTGCCGTTGCGAAGTGTACTTCTAGTATGTTGAAGGCTTAGAGCGCTGAAGCATTTGGCTAAATCCCGCAAAGATGCGTGAGCTTCACTATGAGATTGAATCTCTTAAGAGTAAAGGGTAATCACCTTCCACCTTTATTCAAAGAGCAAGTTGATGACAATTTTCTATGTCGTCATTCCTTTGAGTCGCCTAGAGTTGTAGAAACTTCTAGGTTCACACTCCAAGAGACAAAACTCTAGAGGAAACCTTGGGGTGAGTGGAAAATTGAGCCTCCTCAACTATGGAAAGAGTAGAAGATGAAGAGCCCTGCCGTCGAGATCCCTAAAAGTTAACATTAGCAGTTGGTGTGGGTTGGGGCTGTGGTGCAAGATTTTGAGGGAGCACTACTACAATTTGCCCAATTTGTTACGAAATTATTTGCGACAACACTTGTCGTCGTAAATAGTTGACTATTTGCGACGACATAAGGTCACAAATACTTTTCGTTGAACAGGAGAACAGTGTCGTCGCTAATACTTCACTAGTCGTCGCAAATATGTAGTTGGTGGTAAATGTGGGCTGTCGCCAATATTTGCCGCCAAAATAACATTATTTATGACGACCTATCGTCGCAAATAAGGAATTATTTACAACGACATGTGTCGTCGCATATAATAATTCATTTATTTATTGTCCCATGAGTAAAAAGGCGGTATATTTGGCAGTTCTCAAAATTTAATTGCGACGACATTAATGTGTGTCGTCGCAAATGATAATTTTGTATTCCTTCGCAAAAATAAATAGTGGGGAAATTGGGCGGTTCTCAAAAACTAATTGTGACGACAGTACACATTAACATTGCAAATAATAATTTCAGAACATTCATTATAAATATTAAATAATTATGACTTGTTTTGTCGGGGAAACTCCAGTATATGCTACTATCCTTTTGTTGCAGAATGTTTTGCTTTACATGAACGAATTTGGTATGCCTAACAGTGCCGTCATTCAATTCAGATCATTGAGAACGATGCAATTTTAGTGGTGATAGCTATGAATTCGGAAGTTATGTATATTTTGATTTTTGAGTCTTTAACTAAAAATAATACGAATTCGGAAGTTATGTATATTTTGATTTTTGAGTCTTTAACTAAAAATAATATGAATTCGGAAGTTATGTATATTTTCATTTTTGAGTCTTTAACTAAAAATAATAATAATAATAATAATAATAATAATAATAATAATAATAATAATAATAATGATAACACTACTCTTCATTTTTAAATAAATCAAAACTTATATTTATTTGTTTTAATCCTTATTTTATAATTTGAGCAGAGAATTTACTAAAAGAGTATATAAGTAAATTTATGACACTTAATTTTGCCTTAGAGTTTAAGTAAACGTTTGTGTGAGAGCGATTGATTCTAAATCCTGTAAATTTGGTAAATATTCTATTCTAACCCGTAATGATCATTCTGAATAGTTATGTCCACTTCAATTCATGTCATTCTGATTAAACGCAAGTAAACGCCCTAATAGTATAATTTCTGTCAAAGTGCTTCCATAGGATCCTTGGCATTCAGTATATTACTACATTAAGTTTGATAAATAATATGATTTGCTATGATTTTGTGACAACCTATAATTTTTGTTATTCTAAATAATTAGGTATCATTTTGGCCTTTATTTTCGCTTTATTATTTGAACGATAATTGTTAATTTTTTAGCAGAATGACATAAATAATATTTTTTAATTACCATCTTAAATGATAATTCTGTTTTTTTTTTCTTTTTTTACAATTCTTATTTGAATTTAGGGATTTTTTAGAAATCTAAATTATAGATTTTAATATTTGAGGCAAACCACCAAATTATTTTATAAATGATTAAAATTTTTTATCTAAGGTCATATAGATTAGTACTGTCCTTTCAGGAACATTCGATAAAAGTGAAATGATACAAAGGTGATTAATTAACATGACTCCTACACAATTAGTGCCTTTATGATTTATGAATACCTCGATATATATGAGGAATAATGATATAGTCATTTTTCTTTTTGAGAGAGCAGAAAGAAGAGAACATGTTGGAATTAGATGAAGCTTTTATAATATGACATTAAGATGAAGCATAAATATACATACCAGACATTATAGATGGAGAAAAATATTTGCTAAATTAAGTTCTATCATACATCCTAAATTACAATCTTAGCCAATCAATCAGTAGCATATATATAACCGTCATATGCATCCGAAAATCTGTCACACAGAAATGATAATCACTTTAATATCAGTCAGTCACACCAAAGTTTTTTTTTTTTTTTCTGTTCGAGGAGAAACTATTGAGCAAAGTTAAAGCTCGAAAGTCTTTTGTTTTTGTTTTTCATTTTTGAGAGAGATAGGACTAGAAAAGGTTGCAGCCGAAATTCGTGTCACTATACCCCGCCCCGGAACAAAATTTAAAACATGAGGATGTGATTCCAACTCTCTCTCTCTCTCTCTCTCTCTCCCCCCCTTTTTCTGGCTGAGCATTTACACCTTTTCCTTGCCTCCATAAATGCAATTGCACCATCTCAATACGCCTGCATGCAATAACTCCTCTTGCTGCCACATCCTCTCCATCTGTTTTCTTCTTCTTCTTCTCTCTCTCTCTCTCTCTCTCGATATTGTCTCCTCTTTTTCCTCGTCCGTTTCTTCCCTATCTTCTTCATCACCACTGCAATATTCTTCTCTTCCTCTTTAACACTTTTTCTTAAAACATGCTGATCAAACATTAACTCCATTATCAACACCCATAAAACCCACTCTTCAGCTCCCCACAAAACTAGTTTTCTGGCGAGAAGTACTGATCTGAAAAGGGTCTAATTTTACGAACCTTTAAAACCCATATCGCTTTTCATATCTCTGTATTCCTAGGAAACTTTCTCGTTCTTTCTCATACGTGAAGCTCTTTTTAGCTTGTGATACCTTTAGCCAAAAACTCTTTCCGTTATTTTCTAGCAAATAAAAAGAGAAGAATATTGAGGTTTCTTTCTGTACACCGAGATCTTAGTTGGCGTTACAATCTTGTTGTCTCAAGAGTTTGAAATTGGGGATATAGTCAAAAAACCTATACACATAATCGTCAACTCCTATCTAGTTTTTTGGCACGTAATAGTGAAAAGGCTGAGCACTTTTTGAAAGCCCCAAATCATAGCCATTTCATCTTTTTTCAGTTACTTCTAGTAATATTGCTTTTAGCTTTACTTGGTCAACGCTAAAAATTTATTAATACCAACCCCAGAAGGCGTCAAGTCAATTCTCTTGAGAAAACCAAACCAAGAAGAGAGAGAGATTATGAATATCGCCTAGGGTTTGTAGAAGAGTGAATATATGCAATCATACAAGCAGGAAAAATGCTTCCGCCGAATAACCTGAAACTTTCATTTAAAGGGAGGAAATTTTCAGTGTATTCCGGTCGTCATCTTCGCCGCTGACAACTAATCAGGTAGATTTACTTCTCTTTTCCATTTTTTGTCCATTTTTCCATGGATTTTTCTCAGCTACGGCGATTTGCTAACAAGATTTATTGTTCTTTTATTAGTATAATAATTCCTAAATTTTTTTTATCATAATACAGTACTCCTATTTATTATTATTTTTGGAGGGATTAATATATTGTTTTTTTAAATCTTAATTAGCCATATAGTAGCGTAATAAATGGTATAAACCAAACTAGTAGTTTTGGTCTAAGCAAGTATCTCAGACATTTTAAGCAAATTAAAGCCGTTTCTCGATAGAAACGGAGAACTAGACGAATGCGAGTAAAGTTGGGGTTGGACGAGAATTGCATATATACATTGTTTACGGCGTTTTCTTGTACATTTATTTCTGCTTCCACGGTAGATAAACTTGCCTTATATTTTCTAGCTCTGCCATTTATTATAATAGATTTTTAACTTGGTCTTTACTCAACCTCTTAGTTTTTTTCCTTATTCTTTTCAGTGGGAATATTTGGGCTGGCTTGGGTGCTTCCGTATATATAAAATAAACTTGATTTACTCTGTAGCTAGTGGGTTACTAACTTTTTGACCGTTCTTGACCTTTTTCCTTATGTAGTGAAGTTTAACACAAAAGATTTTCTTGGCAGATTAAAAAAAAAAAAAAAAAAGAAAGAAGAAGATTAAGATATCAGTCCTAGGATTTTTCCTGCAAAAATGTTTCAGCCAAATATGTTCGAGACTCACCATCATCTGTTGGATATGAGCCACAAAAGCTCGGAAAATGAGCTGGGAAAGGTCCGAGATGACGATCTTGAGACTAAATCGGGCACCGAAACTATGGACGCCCCATCCGGAGATGACCAGGATCCGAACCAACGTCCCAAAAAGAAACGTTACCACCGCCACACCCAGCGCCAAATCCAGGAAATGGAAGCGTAAGTCTCTAGAGAGAGAGAGAGAGAGAGAGAGAGAGATCTAGAGTTTATCCTGTATGGGATCTCATTAATTATTTTATATTAATTAATTCTTAAGTTGATCATGTCACAGATTCTTTAAGGAGTGTCCTCACCCAGATGACAAGCAAAGAAAGGAGCTGAGCCGTGAGTTAGGTTTAGAGCCTTTGCAAGTGAAATTTTGGTTCCAAAATAAGCGAACTCAAATGAAGGTATAACTCATATATATGTACTTGTGAAGAAACACATCGCTTTAAGAACATGCATAGCTCACTTGATCTCTTTTATCTTCCCTTCTATTGTGCCCTAAAAAAAACATTTGATCATTAGGCCCAACATGAACGCCACGAGAACTCAATCCTGAAAGCCGAAAACGAAAAGCTTCGGGCTGAGAACAACAGGTACAAAGAAGCCCTAAGCAACGCCACTTGCCCTAACTGCGGAGGCCCAGCTGCTCTTGGTGAGATGTCTTTTGACGAGCAACATCTCAGGATAGAAAATGCCCGTTTACGTGAAGAGGTAAATTATCTAATTTTTGTATTGAAAATTTTAAAACGTAACGAAATATAATCTGTACTAACAGTTTCAGCTCTATTTTTCTCATAGATTGATAGGATATCTGGGATCGCTGCTAAATACGTTGGCAAGCCTTTGTCTTCGCTTTCTCACCTCTCATCTCATGTGTCTTCCCGTTCTCTTGACATGGGGGCTGGGAATTTTGGGTCTCAGTCAGGTTTTGTAGGCGAAATGTTCGGATCTAGTAGTGATCTTCTGCGGTCAGTCTCAGTGCCCACCGAGGCTGATAAGCCGATCATAGTGGAGCTAGCGGTGGCGGCCATGGAGGAACTTGTTAGAATGGCTCAGGCTGGAGACCCCTTGTGGATTCCTGGTGACAACAGCTCAAGTGAAATGATAAATGAAGACGAGTACTTGAGGAGTTTCCCCAGGGGAATTGGGCCTAAGCCATTAGGCATGAAATCGGAAGCGTCTAGAGAATCAGCTGTTGTCATCATGAATCACACTCACCTTGTTGAGATTCTCATGGATGTGGTGAGTTATTTCCTTAAATTAAAGCAAACAAAAAAAAAATGTCACTCATTCATTTTTGCCAAACAAAAAACGTGAAATTAATTGATGAAGTCATTTATGATTATTAATGACTTGTTTGCAGAAGCAATGGTCTACTGTATTTTGCGGCATTGTCTCAAGAGCAATGACACTTGATATTCTCTCAACTGGAGTGGCAGGGAACTACAATGGAGCCTTGCAAGTGGTACGGAATTCAACAACTAAAAAAAGAACTTTGCATTAGTCTAACTATTTTGTTCAGCGTATAGTAATAAATTGTACCCTATGTTTCTTATTACTCATTTAAAAAAAAATGTTTTTTTGCGTTTATAATTAGATGACATCTGAGTTCCAAGTACCCTCACCATTGGTTCCAACCCGTGAGAATTACTTCGTAAGGTACTGTAAACAGCACGCTGATGGAACTTGGGCCGTTGTCGATGTTTCGTTGGATAATCTTCGTCCGAGCCCAATTCCTACGAGCCGAAGAAGGCCCTCCGGTTGCTTAATCCAAGAATTGCCAAATGGTTATTCAAAGGCAAGCAATTTTACCTCATTAATATTTTATTTGTGACAGTTAATTTGCCATTGTAGTACTAATTCAATGTGAAACACGTGCTTAATTTTTAATTTTTTTAGGTCATTTGGGTTGAACATGTTGAAGTGGATGATAGAGCCGTTCATAACATCTATAGACCACTAGTTAACTCTGGTCTTGCCTTTGGAGCAAAACGTTGGGTGGCTACTCTGGACCGACAATGTGAACGACTTGCAAGTTCAATGGCCAGTAACATTCCAGCTGAAAATCTGTGTGGTACAATTAATACATAAATATATTCATTACCTTCTATGTGTACTATTTTGGATATAATAATGTCTAATTACTTTACACCAATATTTGATTCTTTTTTTTTTTTTGGTGGTGCAGTAATAACAAGCCCGGAAGGAAGGAAAAGTATGTTGAAACTGGCGGAGAGAATGGTGATGAGCTTTTGTGTTGGTGTTGGTGCTTCAACTGCTCATGCGTGGACGACATTATCGGCAACAGGCTCCGACGACGTAAGGGTCATGACCAGAAAGAGTATGGATGATCCAGGCAGGCCTCCTGGCATTGTGCTAAGCGCGGCGACTTCGTTCTGGCTTCCAGTTCCACCAAAGAGACTTTTTGATTTTCTCCGAGATGAGAATTCTCGGAGCGAGGTACACACCGTATATAGAGTTGACACAAATTTGGTTCATAAGATAACTAGAAAATTATACGTTACCGGTCTATGTAACAATTTATAGGTATCAGAATTAACACATGATATTAGGAACCATTCTAGTCATACTAGATTGATGCTTCGACAAATTTATTACTGGTGGATGCCAACTTAATATAATATGTCAATTACGCAATGTCAGTTATCCTTCTCAACGTTCAAATAAATTGAAAAAAAAAAAAAAAATTCATCAATAACACACTCACACATTTTATGGTGTATTTACTACTAATTGTAGTGGGATATCCTCTCAAACGGTGGCCTCGTCCAAGAGATGGCACATATAGCAAACGGGCGAGATCCTGGCAACTGTGTCTCTTTACTACGCGTAAATGTAAGAACAAACAAGCTCAAAACAAATTTATTATCCCTTATTTCATTTCATGTTATATTTGTTAGAATTCTTTTTCCCCGGTTCTTTCCATGATGAACTGTTCTGTGTCTACTGTAGAGTGCAAATTCTAGCCAGAGCAACATGCTGATACTCCAAGAGAGTTGCACCGATTCCACAGGGTCATACGTGATCTATGCACCGGTTGACATCGTGGCTATGAACGTGGTGTTGAGTGGCGGAGACCCCGATTACGTCGCGCTTTTGCCGTCGGGTTTTGCAATACTTCCTGACGGGCCTACTAATTTCAATGCCGGAGGTGGAATCTTGGAGGTTGGATCAGGTGGCTCTCTACTCACTGTAGCGTTTCAAATCTTGGTGGATTCAGTTCCCACAGCGAAACTCTCTCTCGGATCAGTGGCAACTGTTAACAATCTCATCAAGTGTACGGTTGAAAGAATAAGAGCTGCTGTGATCACCTGCGAAAACGCTTAATTTCATCAAAAACCTAAATCTGGTGAGCCAGTTGACTTTTTTTCTTTTTTCTTTTCCATTTCTTTAAGCGAGTGAATCACTGACGTCTTGACTCTTGATATGAATGTGTTTTGTATTGTTAGCCTTGATTTTTTTTTTTTATAATGTTTTTTCTCTTTTTATTAATGAATTAGTTCAGAGTTTTGATGTAGAACGAGTTCCTTAGTCAGTGTCAACGTAGTTGAATGTGCTAAAATTTCACAGCTTGTCTCTCCAAATTATCTAAGGAACCTATATATTGTTATTATGTAATAAGATGTAATTGGTGAGAATCCAATAGTGGTAATCGCCGTGAATGTTTTGCATTTTGTTTTCTTTAAAAAAAAAAAAAAAGATTGACAAAATTACCTTTGTCGTGGCAGTGATAATAAAAGAAGGAAAAGAGAAGGGGAAAAGACGAAGAAATTAAGGTGGTGTTTAGGTTACTAAGGGATTGACCATCAAATACAACAAGCTAAAGGAAGGAAGTCAAGAACGCACCTTACAATATCCTTGCCTTGTGGTGTTTTGTGAGGGCATAGAATTTTGGAGACAAAGCAAAAAAAAAAAAAAATTATTATTATTATAATAAGTAAAAAGGAGTATAGCCTGCAAGGATGATAGGTTCGGGTATTGACTTCACCTAACAAAAATGTTCAAATTAGTACTAAGGCCTTTGTGATTGTTCATAATAAACTCAGAATAACTGTTGGGTTAATTTTGTCGCTTTTGCTTTGTTTTTTGAGGTTAAGTTAGAGCTGTTAGGAGTGTTAATTTTGTAACTGGCCAGTGTCGAAGCCTTAATTTCCTTCTCATCATGTGTAAGTGTTTCTTTTTCTTTTTCTTTTTCTCCCCTGAAATGGTCATGTGTAAGTCTTTTAAATAGGCTACTAGGAAGGACTATTATTAATGTAGCCCACATTAATTAATTGTTTTTCATCTCCATATTACAGCTTGTCGCTTTCTCCATGGCACCTTTATTTATTATAATATAATCAAAATGTCACTAGCTAGAGTTGATGATAACACTGACATCAAGTTTGACCTGCCAAATAGAGCCATGAGTATTACAATTCAGGCTTTAACTTGTATTGAACTAATAAAAGGAACTACTGTTGCCAAATGCAATTTGTTAACTAGCAGTAGCCAAGATTCTTGAGCTTAGTTTTGGTGATAAATAATAAAAAAGTGCTCGGAGGTACCACCGATGTTAAACACTACCACTAATATAGAATATGAGTTTGATACTCACTTTTTATTAGACGGTGATGTTTTGCAACTCCGATGTTCTATATCATTATTCTAAATAAAACGATCTGAAATCAAATACCGGATAAACTTAAAACCCATCATTTAGTTATTATCAAATCGACTTTCGATCAAATGACAAAGATTTGTAAAATTCCATTAATAGGTTGTTTTACTGGAAAATATGCACTTTATTATTTCCTAAATCGTGTTATATAAAACTGATATCTTGAAAATAAATTAATAAATACTAGTGATCAAGAAGGGAAAAGGAAAGGAGAGCTGACAGACTTCAATTTTCCCAGGCAGGTTTAGTTGCAACTTGAAAGCGTCTTTACTTCATCATATATATGTAGGGTCGTATTACACACAATATGAAAAAATCTGTACAGTTCATAAATACGCTCTAGATCCCAGTTGCAATAAACCATGTACCCTCTAATTTTATGTCATACCAAAGGGAAATTTATGAGTTGAACGTCAAGGGTTGTTGAGAACAATAATTCAGTATATACATATATATATATATATACATATATATATAAACGTGTTTAGTTAGATACCGCTAAAATAAAGATTCGAAAGGGTCATAAATATAGTTGGTGCCAATTGCACTTACGCTGTATATTAATAATAAATAATACTGATCTCTATATATATAGCTACTCAGACTCAGAGGGATCAGTAATCAGTTTACTCTCTCAAACCACGATATGATTGCATGTATCTGGTGGCGAATATGACTCGTATAGTTATTGCTCCAGTTGAACTTTGCTGCAATCTTAAATGGTTTTCAGTTTATGTGACTTTTACCTCATCATCACTATTCGTTTGCATATGAGTTGAGAAATTTGAACTTCATTCCTCCAACTAGAGGAAATTCATTACACTTCTTGGAATGAAGAAAGTTGAGATTGTGGAGGTTAATTTGAATGAAAAAATCACAGTACAACATATTAGGTGCGATTACCAAACCCTAAAAAAATGTAATGAAAAAGTAATGAGATTAAAGTTGAAAGTAAAATAATAAAAATAAAGATTATTGATTCCTTTTAAAGTGTTTACTTAACTATTCAATAGTGTAATAAGAAACAGCCCATTTCCCTTTCTAGTGCTTCCTAAAATTAGAAATAGTAATACTATCAATGTAATTATTAAAATGACTATTAAATAATTATTGACTTACATTAATTGTAATTCTGGTAGATAAGTAAATTGGGTATCATTTTCTTTTTAAAAAAATGAATATCATAATGGGAGAGAGTGAGAGAGAGGAACCGTGAGTGTGTGTGTATATATATATATATATATATATATATATTATAGTGATAGACAAAATGGTCCCTCGGTCCAAAATTTATGCTTTCCCTCCTACTCTGGTCCTTTTCATTAAGAAGTTTATTGCTTCTCCCAACGTTATCAAACGACAACACCAAACATCAGATTGGATTAAATAAAAATCTAATCCTATCCTTTTTCTATAAATTCTAAGTCATTGCTCTAAAACTATACTATCCAATATGTTCCTATTCTGCGCATCATACGGGGCCTAAAGGATATGTAGAAATATAGTGACGTTTGTAGTTGGGCAATATTATTTGCTTACTTTGTACCGTAGAGTTCGCTGTGAGTGATATTATATAGAGTAGTTAGGGTCATTTAATTCTGTGTGTGTGCATATGGATATGCGTTGATATGCATGTATATATAAATGATTTCTTGGCAAAAGCAAGTATATAATATATAAGGTACTTGTCACAAAGTCAACAGTTTACAGAAGTTTCTTTGTTTGTCCTAATATTTGCTTTGTGGGTGAGAAGAAGTCAGCAATATTGGCGGAGTATATATAATATTGCTGCATTGCTAGCTAGCTTAATGGCCAAACATATATGAAATTTTATTTTGTAAGATACGATTTGTTGTGACTATAATTAGTAGTACATTGATGTATTGTGTCGTTGTGAAAATAAGTAGGCACATGTTTAATCTAATAAATTTTTGTGCAAAATTAGAAAATAAGATATTGGAGATTTCATTCATTTGATTATTGGTTCAACCCGGCCGATACTAAATTGCTTTTACGTTAGCTATATTATTTATGGTTACACTGTTATATTATACATATTTGTCTTCTTGACAAATTGGTCTGGAGATAATTATTTATTCTACAAGAAAAATATTTTCAGAGACTAAATTGAGAGTAAATTAACGCAAACCAACAGTTTAGATGGCTAATTGACCTAAAATCAAACGGCATTTTTAAATTATACATCGCTTAATATCATCATTTTGTTAGTATCACAAACATAGTGGGTATTTTTAACATTTTTATATAATTTATGATCAATGAAATAAATCATTTAAAATTTGGAAGATGTTTGATAGGTTATTTACGAAACTAAATATTTCTTTTTGAAGAAAAAATAGTTTACAGGTGTAAACTAAAAATAGAAGGAGGGAAACTGTACATAAAAAGGTGCCCCAATAATCACTAGTACATTATATTACCATATAAAAGGGGTAGAAGGGTAATGGTAGCATTCATGTATGAAATTTCCGCATTAGATCAAGTTCGTAAATTCGATCAGCAAAAAAAAAAAAAAAAAAAAAATGTTCGTAAATTCTAAAATATTTACAAGGCAATGCCTATTCTTGTAAGAATACTAGAGTCCTTTAACACCTTTCAAGCTTGTATAAAGTATTCGATAGATAGGAATTCATCAGATGATTTTAAATCACTTGATAAGCATGCATCACATTGAAAAAAAAAAAAAAAAAA